TGGAATGGCGAAAACTACGACTTGAACGCTGACGATGTGCCCGAAGGTGCCCGGAAGTATGGCACTAAGCTTACCAGGAAGCAGGCGCTGCTAGTTCTTTTCAACTCCCAATATGGCGAGGACATTGCACTTGAGATGGATTCAACGACTGGCCAGCATACGTTTGCGGAGACCAAGCCAGTATTGTCAAATGCCGATGACATTCCCATCAAGTTAGGATCGTCGAACCCTGTAACGCCCACTAGCGCTAGTAGTGCTGGCCGCAACACCGCGATGGGGATTTTAGGCGTACCTAGCATTGGCAAAAAGCTAAGTTTCCTGCGGTCAGACATTGATGAAACTCAGCTTGAGGCCCTTATTGCTGGTGAGGACAATGAAGCAGGCAACACATCTGATCCAGCATCTCCAACGCCTAACCGGAATCCTGGTGGCGGTAAGACACGACGTTCCGCGAATACAGCCCGCACACCAAAGCATGCCGGGCCTTCGGTTCACAGTGATACATTGGGCGATGCGGGCGACGGAAAGAGAAAGAGGGCATCGACGAAGGGTGCTACTGACCTAACAAGCTTGGAGAGTCTTAGCAAGAGGCCGCGGCGCGGCAAAACTAGCAGCGGTGAACAGGGCGACAAGAATGTTAGTAGCCAAGGCCGTACAAAGGGCAAGGGTAAGGTGAGCAAATAGTGATGAGTTTAGGAGGCTCTTTAAACAATAAAACAAGCAGGACTAGCATTAGAAGTGTATAATAATACCCATGCATTGAATTTTAGGATCACTTAGCAGTTTTAAAGCTATAGAAAATAAAAACTCTTATAGCTTTAATTCCTTAAAGTTTAAGACAAAAGATTAGAGAGTAATTTATCTAATCTATTTAACTATATAAGCTACTACAACTACAACTACTATTACAGGAACAATTCCTTCTAGTCCCGCCTGAGCTCTGCCCTTAAAAATACAAAAATTGAAGGGAAACCCATTCCTGTAGCACTCAGTATAGGCTTCCTAGGCGTGTGGCAGTTCCATCGAATTCAGCGGAGAGAGCAGCATACGCAGACCTGTGGCGGGGAGGATGGACAAATTGGTCGTCCCAAGAAGAGGGAGAGGATACGGCCAGCGTTTCTAACAGGAAGTAGTACAATTGATACTTTTGCTCCGCCTACGATCGCGTGAGGCGAGCGAACGTAACTACATTTTTAACTATTATAATTTAATTAATAAGGCTTAAAAGTGAGCAGTATACAATTAAGGTAGACTTTTTTAAGGTTGCAGTCTCTGACGCGCGTGAGGGCTAGGGGAGGGTGTTTGTGCTACTATTTACGTGTCAGCGTAGCCTTAGAGCTTGCCCTGTACTACAACAACCTTTTAGACAACCTTATTATAGCAAAAGATGACAGTCCCTTGTATGGGGAACGTCTAGATTAGTGGCTCCAGGTTGGTCGGCGCGACTATCCTGTACTCTTCAAGATGGCACTTGATTTCCTATGTATACCCTCCACAAGCTGCGACTGCAAGAGAGCCTTCAGCGGGGGGAAAAGGACATTTACTTGTGACTATAATTATCTCTTAGGCTCTACAATTAAAGCTTTACAACTCTAGAAAAACTAGCTACATTATAAGGTTATTTTTAGTAAATTAAATAACCTTGTGTGCTATATTAAGAGTAAGAGGGACCCTACTACTCTAAAAGCTTTAACAGTTATGTTGTAACTTTTAGTAGAAAGTTAAGAAGTACAAGTAGCTTTAATTAAACTATAACTTAATTATATTAACCTCTGCTGTTAGGTAAAGCAAACAAAAGTATATAATAAGTAAGATGTAACTTGTTAAGAAAGCCTAAGTTGAATTGTACTACTTCCTAATAGAAACGCTAGATACAACTAAGCAGTCCCTAGTTTGTTGCTTCCTCCTAGCTGATGTTCTAAATGCTTAGGAACTCCTGTTTTAGGCAAGTACAGATTATGTCCACTCTGCCACTAAAGGCCTTGTCTTAACTATAGAGTCGCTTTAACTATCTTAAGATACTATATTACCTCTATGTTCCTAAACTTAAGCTTTATTCCTGTATTTTTAGTGTTAAGTTAGACCTTTTAATTCTTATACTTTAACTACAACTAACCTCTTCTAGCCTCTCTAAAGTATTGTAGCTAGACTTGCATGTATATCCTAATCTCGCATTGTTTTTCTACTAGTCTCTGAAACCTGGTATCTAGCTGCTAGGTTCTAATCCTAACGCAGTTCTCTCTCTAGCAGACAGGGAAAGTTATCTAGTTTAGAATAATAGAGCACAGCAAAGTTAAGCAAGCTAAAGGAGTTACATATAGTCTTAATGCTCTCCTAAGCTCTGTTAGGCTGTTAAACTAGAATGCTATCACGCGCGCTAAAGCTAGAACTAGCGGCTCTCGCACTAAGGTAGGCGACAAAGAAGTGATCAGCGCAGGCGAAGAATTCGCCTAAGTAAACAGCATCTTCTATACCCTCCCTAACCTCTTCTCTAGCCTATGGATTAATGCTAGCAAACACTCTAAAATGCCTACTAACTAATTAACCCACCCAACCGCCTCCTTAAAGACTAAGGTCTGCGCCAATCTTGTCCTCAGCAAAGCCTCTTGTCCCTGTGCTCTCCTAGGCTCTGTTAGGCCGTCAAACTAAAATGCCGTCACGCGCGCTAAAGCTAGAACCAGCGGCTAGTTTAGAATAATAGAGCACAGCGAAGTCAAGCAAGCTAAAGGCGTTACATATAGTCTTAATGCTCTCCTAGGCTTTGTTAGGCCGTTAAACTAAAATGCCATCACGCGCGCTAAAGCTAGAACTAGCAGCTAGTTTAGAATAATAAAGCACAGCAAAGTTAAGCAACTTAAAGGCGTTACATATAGTCTTAACACTCTTCTAGGCTCTGTTAAGCTGTTAAACTAAAATGCTATCACACGCTAAAGCTAGAACTAGCAGCTCTTCTTGCATAAGCTAAAGAAGGGTTATATAGGAAGTAAGTTAACAAGGTAGTAAAATCTAAATAAGGTAGATTAAATAAGTGTATTATAAGGTCTAAGAAGCTTAATAGAGCTCTAAGCTAACTATATACTGTATAAGATAGAAGCTATGCCTAATAAGTAAATAGTGCAGTACATAGGTATAATATCGCGTGAGACACGTGCGACACCCCCCCCCCCTAGCTTTAACAAAGTAAATACTAAAGCAAAGCTGTATAAAGAGAAATAATAGACTGCAGATGTACAGTAGTGCACTTAAAAGCGTAAAATAGCAAAAAGAAGTTAGTAGGCTTAGGCTTTAAAGCTAATATTAGTAGAGTAAGCCTTTAGAGCGTTACTTAGGCAGATAAGGCCTAGTTGTTTAATAAACGCTTAATGTTTTTATTAAAGTAGAAACTTAGTAAGGCTGTTAGGCGGCATGTCTATAGTAGAGATCTAGTGTATGCAAATTCTTCTTTCCTAAGGCTTATAATTAATTAGAGCTGTGTGCTAAGTAGTTATAGCTTACTTAAGATTATTATTGTTAGTCTTAAAGTCTATAGCTGCGTCACCTGTTTACAGACAGACTTTAATAACTAATAGTAGCTTGTTGTTAGAGCTATTATCTAGAGTGTTGCTAAGGTTATGTTAGAAGACTAAGTTAATGTTAGTTTCTTTTTTAAAGTTAACCTCTAGAATAGTTTCTAAGGTTATTTTAAAAGAGGGCATATAATAGAGAGAGCCTTAATAGCGCTTTTTATGTAGCTAATTGCTAGGTCCCTTATTACGCTTCTTAGGCTCTAGAAGCTCTTCTGTAAAATTAATGTAATCTATATTGTTTAAAGTATTATCTTATGTAATAGGTTGCTGTGCAAGGTCTTTAGCAGCTATAACTATTAGCAAAATAGATCTAATAAATAGATCCTCTGTGCGCGATACTAGAGCCTAGTAACCTCTAGTTTAAGTAGTGAAGCAGATTAGTAATTAAATGCTATTATAAAGTTGTTTGTATACAAGGTTGTCTCTAGAGTTAAAGTAAATGTCCTGTTCTTAAGAAAGAGATATAAGACTAGTAAACTATAGTAACTTCTACTTAGCTAGTGTAAATTAAGAAGATAGTAGTAGATTATAGTATATTATAGTAAAGAAGAGTATATTATAGTAAACTATAGTACATTATAGTAAAATATAGTAAAATATTATAAAATATTAAAAAAGCTATTAAAATATAAAAAACTATAAAAATAATTATAAAATTTAAAGTAGGTAAAAGTAATAAACTAAGTTAAAGTATAAAATATAGAAATGTATAAAATAAAAAAGTATATATTAAAAAAGCTATAAAAGAAAACGTATATATAAGAAGAAAATTATAGTAGAAAAAAAGAAATTAGAAAAACATCTATAGAATAAAATAAAAAAGAACATAGTATAAAAAAACATAGTATATTAAAAGATATATAAAGATAATAAATAAAACTAAACTAAAAAATATTAGATTAATAAATAAAAGAATATATATAAGATTTTTAGTATAAGATAAAATAGTTAGTATTATAATAATAAAAGTTACTTATATAAAAAAAGATATAGTATATAAAAGAATGTAGTGTAGAGAAAAACATAGTATAAAAACATAGTAGAAATAAGATATAATTTTAAAAAAGTTTAGTTTAAAAAAACATATAG